TACTATGTATTTGTGATATTCTAAGTGAAAACGGATATCCGGATAAGTTCATCAAAACTAACATCAACGACATTGGTCCTAAACAAGAACTGATAACACTAGACAAGAAGCATTTGTATCTACGCTTACAGTTCAAAGGAGATATCGCAAGTGAAATTCTACCACAACGACTAGCTAGAGTAGTCAGTAGGACGTTTTATGCAGGTCGCCTTTGCATATCATTCAGTAGCCAGTCAATGCTCAATCCCAGACTAAAGGATAGCCTACCTAATCTTAGCTCTTCATCATGCAGATATCAATTTAACTGTTCCTGTGGAACAAGTTAAATAAGGCGTACTATTAGGCAGGTGCGTCTCCGGATACAAGAGCATTTACTGGCTTGGTTAGGAAAGGGTGAAGTGAAAATGGTGAGAAGTTCAGTTCTAGTTTATCTCATCATTACAGGGCATCACACAGATGCTAATAAACCTTTCGTTGTCATTCACCATGTTCCAAAAACGACATCATATGTGGCTCGCCAACCCTTGCTCAAAATAGCGGAGGCTGTCGCAATAAGGTTGATCAAGCCTGAACTCCGCATTCAGAGAGAATATATCTAAGTGTTACTTCTCCCTTGGCCTTCAGCAAACTAAAGGCCACTCTTGTCACCTTATTTGTTATCTTTTTGTGGACCATCATATCATTCTTCTGTATGTGAATCATCTCAATATTGAATAACTTAGAAAAGATAAATCAATTTTCTTACAATCCCTAAATCTCACTCCATTTTGAAAACGTACCTACCCCTAACATGGCTTGTTTTTAGGCTGTAAAAATGCATTTTATAACTGTTGAACCTGGAGAAAATTTCTTGAAAAGAATATTCGTCGTTAGGATTGTTTCTTTTTATAAATATTCATATACAGTTGATAAATGGATGGTAACAGAAATCTTTATTGTAGCAGGCTTCAAATCGAAGTATATTCAGTCATTAGTGAGGTGTATTATCAATTGAGTAAAGTGAAGAAGCAATGTATCATAGTCTCATTAGTAGAATAAACAAACAAATAAATAACATGAAGCATACCGGTTTGATTCCATAGTCATTACTACCACATAACATTAGTTTTTAAATCTAGGTCAACTGTAATATTTCAGTCGCTAATTGCTTTTTGAAGATTTTAGTAACGATAACTTTGTATAGTAGTCAATTAACCCGAAGTGGGTTGGCTGGTGTTCGATAAAAGCATATATTTCACTAGTGAAAAGAAAAAATCTATTTTTCAGTCCTATAACTGTGTATAAAGCACGCTGGTGTTCCTCTGTTTTATGAGATACAAACACTATCACTAATAATAATAGTACCACGAATATGGATAAAGTCAGCTGTTTGGTTTCAACTTTTAGGCTATTTGAAACTCATTCTTAGACTGTACCACATTTTTCTTCACCACTAACAAAGTATCTGGCTACAATCTACAACTAAGTTTTAAGTATATTATAGTTAGAGACTTTGGATGATATGGTTAAGAATCGACCTGAAGGGTAGAGATTTATTCACATATAAACTTCATCTCAGTCGTCATACTGAATTTCACTGTTCTCTCATTCCTCCCTTCTCTCGTTTTACAACTTTCTACCACTTTGGGCTGCTTTCTTACCAATTCCTTTATTTTTCTTCTTATTGCATTCTCGTTTGATCTTGTGATATGTGGTATGACAAGTTGGACCGCTAGGCAGTAATGCCAGGTCCATCTTCTAGTCTCTTAAATACAGTGTAATTAGATATTCAGTTATCTTCCACATGATTTGGAGGAAGTACTCAAATTCATTGTTTTGTTTAACTGTGATAAGATACAGGGTGATCTGATGTTTCCCTTTCATATTATTTCACTACTAACAAATAATTCATCAGGGGAAACAGTCGTTTATGTATATCACCACCATACTAAACACCTGGTTCTCGCTTTTATTCGCTGTATAAAGAGAGACAGAGCAAAGAAGTAAAAATGGCCTCATATGATGGAGGTTTACTGGTTGAATATTTTGATGCGTATGTAGTAAGAGAAATTTTCACTTTTTGCATTGCTTTTATCAGCATCTCTTTTTGATATGTGGAAGAAAATCGTTTGTTCTGAGTGGTATGAAGATCTAGGTATGGAATTCAGTAAGGTACACAACAGTTTAGATCTTTTTCTTAGCAGTCCTCTAAGTCAAATCAGAAGACTGATAAATACTTTAAAGTACCCAGTGAAAACTTGTAAAGAGAGGGTGCAACTTATCCACCTAATGTTTGTCTGAGAGCATTTACAGAAATAGGAGCATAGCAAGCACCCAGAAAAGGGTATTTACTTGATTTTATGTGCATACTCCAAGAAATTTGTATTTGAAAGGGATCAGTGTGCTAACAAGGACGATAGCCAGGCATCTGATGGAAACTGCATATCAAATAGACATATCTGAACCCTTAAGGAGTGTGACAGCAAAAATTGACAGTTTTACTTCGCGTTACTGAAGCCGTTGTAATCAAACATTGTAAAGCTGACTAAACTTTCCTTACTCCGGTGATTCGTTATTATTTTGGTGATATCATGTTTTCTTTTCTATTGTTTGTGTCTTGACAGAAACTATCCTAATGTTTTATGATTACTTCTGAGCTTATATGTTCCCTTGATTATTTGGAAATTACCTTCCCTTGAATCTTTGTTCGTCTAACGACACATTTATGGATCTAGATTTATTGGCCTAAACTCAGACATAAATGATTGATTATCACGTTGACTATCTGAGATAGCCGTGGTTTGGCAGAGTAGTATTGATACTGGACGATGATTAGTGGTGAAGTGAAGATTTTGGTCATGGTACGATTCGAACCAGCGACCAGAGGGCCGGAAACCCTGGTATCGGCCGAAATATCCATTTCAATTATATTCACTACCCAGTATTTATTATATTATTATTTGTCCCTTGGGTTCCTAATAGAATATAGAGCTTCAGTAGCATGTCTCCACTGCACCTTCTTCTCTATAGTCTTCAAAACCTGACTCCACCACTCCCCACAGGCTTTTATTTCTTCCTCACACCATCTCCTCTATGTTACCATCGTCTTGGACGCCCATCTTGTCGTTTTCTATTTGAGTTTCATTCGAGGGCCTGGACTGGCACGTGATGTCCCCAAATGGCCTTCATAGTGTATGCCCAATCTAATCCACCTCCACTCTCCCCTGCATATTTGTTGGACGATGGGTTGTTGATTGGTTCGTTGCCAGCCAGCCAGCCAGCCAGCCAGCCAGCCAGCCAGCCAGCCAGCCAGCCACAGTTCCTTCTTCCTTATTCTTATTATTCTGGCAATCCATCTGATCTTCAGTGTCAGTATCGAGTGATCGTAGGCGGCAGCTGTTCATGTATGTCTGTAGTTTGTTGTAAATGCTTTTGGTAACGCCCCGATAATTCTCTGAGCCATCACATAGAAACACTGACTGACTTGACTGAATTAATGTTGAAAATGGGGATCTTGTTCATGCTTTACGCTGAGTGGAGTGCAGTTGAACTCCACTCTGGTTTCAGACTAATGAAGGCCTGTCTTTCTGTCTTTCCGATCCTGGCTGCTTTGACGTCCTCGTCTGTGCCGCCTGTAGTTGAAACGATGCTGCCTAGGTAGGTGAAAGTGACAACTTCCTTCATATTTCTCCTGTTCATGTTGATTGGAGATCGGTGCTTGTTGTTGTTAATGTTTGTTGGGTTTATTTATCACCTCTGTTAATACTGCGTCTACCTGAAGTCAGTGCCGTCTTCCTTAGATGCTTCGCCACTTCTGACAGCTTGTTAGCTTTCGCCTGTAGGTCCTCGAGTTTGTGTGACAAGAAACTAAACATAAATCACCATCAGAAAAATCCAAATCTCCTAAGGTATTTTCATCGGTCAAACAACGTATGCCCATCTTCTCACAGCTCCTCACATTTGTCTGTTGCATAATCCAGTCGACCACAATCAGGAAGATGATCGGTGATAGTAGGTGCAGCCTTGTCTTACTCCTGTCTTCACTTCCACTTGAAAGGCGCCACTGAAGTTTCCATTGTGGATCACTTGGCATGTGGTGTCTTCATGTAGCTGTTGAATAAGGTTGATAAAGGTTTGTGCCACTGAAACTGTAGTGTTGAAGCAGCTTTCAAATTACTTTTGGTCGACGCTATCGAGAGCCTTTTCAAAGTCGATGAAGCTGAGGTAAGGTAGAGAGTTGACTGCTATTCTATGTTCTTTTCTATGATGATGCGAAGTGCATCATTGCAATTAGATCCGCACAAGATTTGTTCTTTCTGAAGCCAGCCAGCCAGCCTGTTCCAGTTTTAATTTTCAATGCAGAGGATTTTTCAGTCCTTCTAGGATTTCGCGACATCACATTTTGCTTGGTGTTGACAGGAGCATGATTCCTCACCAGTTATATACATATATATCTTCAAATCGCTGAATGGAACTTAAGTACTTCGGGGTCGTAAGTACTGATCCTGAGTAACATGCCGTAATCGATTAAAGTATTTATTTATTTCTTGGAAAATCCCATATACGTATACCAAGCAGTTTACTCTATCCAGCCATTCGTCTAGGTCATGTGAGTAGACCCATCTGATGAACCCTACTTTGTTTATTCGGCATCTTGTAGTGACAATTAGTAATATTATGATGTACTGTTACTCAAAAAGATACCAGCGAAAAGACTAAAAGTGATATTTCGTTTTTCTTCTTCACTTATACTCTTCTGGACTCTGGATGATCATCTTGGGATGTCAGTGAACTTCTGAACAAATATCAAGTTTCAGTGATGTCTGAAGATCAAATATGCATAAAATGTACAAGTTTAAGTGTGTTGATCATAATAAAACTGACTGATGACTGCATCGACTATTCAGAACTATAATTTATTAAATTAAGCAACCAATAATGTTTATACTTTAAATATGGAACATAATGGTCAATATAACATTGGTAAAGTTATACTTATCCCAAAATGCATGTAAACTTACTTTCGGTATACGACATGCTAATTCTGAATAATTCATAGAATTAAGTAAAGCCACAAAGCCAGCCAGTATGTAGGCAACAAAGACAGCCGGCCCAGTTCGTCTGTTCATTACAGCACCGGTAAGCACATATATACTCCCACCAAGCATTGATCCTGAGAAACAAAAAAGAAAGTAAATTTCAGGTCTAAAAGAATGACACAGATATCAGATGGAGTATTTAGTCCATATGCGAATAAAATATATTACCGAAATATTTCATTATGTGGACATCAAGATGCTAGAAAGCAACAGTTATTAACAGTCACATCTAAATATTTCGAAGTAGAATAGTCGGTGTACCCATCTCGAAACGTACTCTCAATACAGATCTAAATGTGATCGACTTAGGCAGTCAGTTCAATCATCAGTAAGATCAGTTTATACTTAGCGTATGCTACCGTGGACTGATCCGGTATTGTTGTGTGATGGAGAGTGGAAACAGCTATACAGGTAAAACTTGTTTAGTGAATTTACTTGGATTTCGCTAAATCGTCTTCCCGTCATACAATTTAACAACTATAGCTATATGTGTGGATCTAAGCATATATCTGTTCAAGCTTTGAAGTCATCACAATCATTACAACCTGATGAGTATTCAAGTTGAACTGGGCAACTGGGTTACCATAGTTTGTGGCACACGTTGAATTCATTTAATTTAAAAAAAACCATCTTTTTATTAGTTTTCTGTTTATTTACACTTTGAAGGTTACTCATTCAACAAGTCAGAACATATATGAAATAACAACATACCTCCACTATATGATGGATTAGAGTATTAGTGCGTGAATTTTCTTCGTGTTAAGAATAATTCTACGTATTTTATCTGGATGGCATAAAACAGGTTCACATATATCAGTGGTCCACTTAAGAAAGCATATACACTATAGTATGCAGTTTCCTCGAAAGTATTCATGGAATACTATTTTCCCTAAGGACACAGATTTAATGTGTCAGCTAAGGAAAATTATGTAATCTTTGAAACATTATTTTAGTTTATTTTACTTTAATATTTGTGGATGAAAGTCATGTCACAAGGTTAAATGACTAAATTGGTGACTGTTTACGGGGGAAGTGAAGTATTTTTACACCAGTAATCACAGAGAACACCACCTTCATATGCCGATAGTGCAAGACTACTCATTAGTCACATGTCGACATCCAGAATGATATAAAAATGTTCCTACAATGACCGATAAAAACGCTCGTTCTTCACCTGATTGGTTGGTTTGTGATAGGGTGATATAGGATTTTTATTGTCCTAGTTGTCTGCATATATTGGGAAGCCGCCCTTTTTCAAAAATGTCCTACCCGAAACCCACTTGCAACCTATCGATTTTCTCAGTGTAGAATTTCAAAAATAAGGTTAGTCTGGTCTATAGATCTGTTCACTTGTTCTTCTGTTATGCTTTGCATTATTCTAAGTACACTATCATTGTGACATATTTAAAGAGGAGTTTCAGAAGATAACCAATAGTTGACAGATATTCGGTTTTCTAAATCACATCCTACTCAAACTTATAACCCTAAACACTCACTTCTAAAAAGAAAAGCAAGTGTGACCTAAATCTGCATAAATGTTCATTGTGTTTTCTATTCTTTCAAATCTATGACTCATAAGATTATCAAATTGCAAACTATTTACAGATCGTATGGTTCACGCTGACGATCCTCATAGGTGAGTAGTTTTTCAACTGCGCGACTGTGGCATCAACAGGCTTCGCGTTGGTAACTGCCCAGGCAAGATCACAAGGTGTGAACTTTGACATAAAAGTGTCATGAACTAACGAAATGTATTTCCGAACAGTAAGAGTACTTAGAACCCACTCACTCTGGTCTGTAGATTTTTATAGCCAAGTCAGAGTAATCTAAATATCAGACTGTCATTTTATTCAGTTAGGGGAAGGTTGACCAACAGTGTACCCCGGTTATTTCAGTTCACAGAAGTAAATTACTTAAATCACTTGGACTGGCTAGTTGGCTTGCATTGACGTGTTTACCTTAAAAGTATGATCAGTTTAAAAATTATCTGATGATCTCGGTCTCAGACAAACCAAATAGCTGTACACTAGTTAAATTATTTTGGTCTGGTTGGCGAAATCATGTTTCTCAGTAGTATGTTTCTTTGACTCATATCTGCTTTTTGTAATGAAATAAACAACTGATTGATGGATTGAACTAGTTCTTATCATACGGCATGCGAGAATTCACTTTCCAAATGATATTTTGGGTGACACATTGTGCTCAGAAATACTCTATTACCAGTAAGATGAATCAAAGGCTATGTAACATTCGGTTTTCAGATCAGAGTGATTTTTTAACTAGAGGGTCATTTCGTTCTACATTCACAGACGATACTCCTGAGACTTTAGAGTCACAACTGACCTCCCTTATGATATTGATTAGTCATATTTTCTAGGTCTGAATGCTAAACTAATTCAACAGGTCATCAAAATCTTAAAATCACAAAAATTCAAATTAGTAGGATTACAGCAAGACAGTTAAGAGAAGAGCACCACGTGACTGGTAATTTGTTTAAATTATAAAACTATATATTATTGTAGGGCCCGAGATGAAGACCTAATTGAAAAGACATATATTTCTTCGCTCAATCAGTCTTTTTCTAAATGTCTAAATGGGAATATTCGATGCATTATTTTTAAGTGAATTCTCTCAAGATTTTGCAGAAATGTACACAGTTGCGTATATACACAAACGTGAAACATTCATGAAGATTTGTTATTCAATGATGATAAGAAGGTGAGTAATGCAGTTAGCAATAATAATGACAATATAATCGATTCCAAGAAGATTGAAAAGACTGTGATATTGTTAGCAAGCACTAAAACAGATAGAGTGGTTTGAAACTTCAATAGCATCAGTATTAATTAGTGCCAAAAAGCAAGGCGAATGAATGTAAATGTCTAAGAAGAATATAGAGGAGTTTGAAGATGACTGCAGTTTGTAATTAATGGGGGTAGTAAGGAGGTAGATGATTTTAATGCACTCATGATCGAGGTTTTCACTTCACCTTCAGTCATCATCCAGGTCAAGGTCTCATGTTGTACAAGCCTCTTCTAGGTAAAAAGGCTAGATTTGATGCTCGGATTCTTGTGGCTTCAGATGTTATACAACACAGAATAAAATCCTACCAGAAAGAAATCACTTTTAATTCTGAGATTTTGTCTACCAACTAGTATCTATAAGTCATATAAAGCAAAATAGAGTCTTCCATCAGTACTCTACTGACTTAGCTATCTGGGTTAACTCTTATAACTAGGTTTCAGATCAGTTCGGTCCTCTAGATATTTCCTAGGTTGTCACATCCAGAAGCAATCCATAACTGCTAACTAATAGTGTAGTGTATTGGAGCTATGGCATACCCAGATTACTGGTTACAATTCATCTCTTGATGCTAGATTGATTCCATCTAGGTCTGTGTTAGGAGATGAATTTAGTGACAATCCAGTGACTTGCTTGTATGATCACTGTGATCACTAGTAGTGGTGATTCAAGAATTATGTGGGACGTTTTGAATAAAAATATGCAGAATGCCTTAAATATATATATATATATATATATATATATATATATATATATATACAAGGATATGTGATGTCGGTGTTTTGCACAGAAGGTCTTTGAATAAAGAACCGTCAAGAGGTTATGTATTAACAATCATTTATGTGTAGTTTATGATAAATATATGGGTCCACGTGATAGTTGTTTGTATATGGGCTTCGATTGCTTATATTGCATTGCTTGAGGGACTTCTCAAATCGATTAGTATTTGTGAGCATTATTACCAATATTAACAACCACATTAGGCTACAAACATATTGAAAAAAGCAGTAAAAATAAATGCGGGTCTAAACTGACTGTCAAGACAAAAACTTTATATGCTGTTATGATATTAAACAATATGGAAACTGATAATTAGAAGTGGTCGGTTTTTAGTTTTTGAATTAAATGCGTGTGAAATGTGTTAAATATTCGTTCTACCATTCCCTTTTAGGTTTTTTATCTGATATAGCACACAGTGGTGTGATATTATTTACTAGACAATGTTTCAAACATAATTAATTGTTCTTAATCATATAAAAGTAATCACACAATCGTCTGTCTCAGTTTTGAAGGGTCCTACTTTCATTTCATTCTTTGACTTGATTCGGTAGCATAATTTTCCAATCTTCCAGAACAAGCTTTGAATCATTCCTGTCACCCGTGATGAACAGAAATTCAGTGATCAACCTCTGTCTCCAACTAATTACATTAGTCTTCTGGACTGCTACTCTGTCCCACCCTATAACATGAATAGCTCTAGCAGAATTCTTCTTTCGAATATTCATCTTAGTAGGGTTAATTAATTTAGACTTAGCTAGGTTTCTGTGGACGTAGAATCATGCTCCTGTCTACACCAAGGAAAATATTATGCCACATCATCCTGGAGAGATTAAAAGATGCGCTACATTTAAAATTACTACCAAAACAGGCTGGCTGGTTGGATACAGGAAGAATGAATCATATGCGGATCAAATTGCAACCCTATGCATCATCATAGAACATAGAATAGAATGGAAATCAACTCAACTTCATCCACTTTATAGAAGCTCAGTAACGCCTTTGAAGTGAGGATAGGAGTAAAACAAGGTTACCTACTATCATCAATAGTCTCTTCCACCTACCTAGGCAGCATCGTTACAGGCGGCGGTGGCACAAATGAGGACGTCAAAGCAGCCAGGATCGTCCAACGCATATGCAGAAGAAAGTGTGAGTGGATTAGATTGGGCATATACTGAGAAGACCGTTTGGGGACATCACGCGCCAGACCAGACCATTCAGTGGAACACAAATGGGAAACGATGAGTTGGGCGTCCGAGTCGATGATGAAATGGAGGAGATGGTGTGAGGAAGAAATGAAAGTTTCTTTGGAGTCGTGGAACCACGTTAAAAAGACTGCAGAAAAGAGATTGAGATGCTACGTACTACTAAAGGTGTATGTTCCACTAGGAACCCAAGGGATAAATAATAATAATAATATAAGGAAGAGTCATCAGAAACTTTAAGATTTTCAACATGGCTGGAATTAGAAGGACATTAAAACCCACAAACTTTA